GGGGGGGGGGGGTGGAGGGCAGTAGCTTAAGGAACTAAATCGACAAGAATAGCTAGTAATAAATAACCGTAAGGTTGTTTGTGGTTTAGGATATCGTGAAACCGAAACACGACTAATACTATTGTTTATGCAAAGTTTAAAGGTTACATTATTTGTTTCTCATTTCAGCGGAAGAAATGAAAAAAGAGGAGGGGGGAATAAAGAAGTGTTAGAGAGAAGAAACGGATTAGGCCGTCAAAAAGCAACAACCAAAACCGCCACACGACGGTGTAAGGTTAATAGCTGTACAAAGTGAACTAAAAAAACTTTTTTTAGAAATATGAGATGACTTGTGCTATATCGTATCTATTCAAAATGAGAAACAATTTGATCAGCTGCCCAGTGGGCGGGTGGGGAGTATGCTTGTGTTCTACCTTTGACATTCTGGGTTTGATCCCCAGTTGGGTCGATGGATTCGGACCGCTAATAAGACCCAACCTGGTTGAAACAGCTGTCTGGTGCTTCATAACTTCTTGGCTTACGCCTCAGTTACACCACGAATTCATTAGCTAATATTGTTAGAAAGTCGTGTGATAAAAGTCTTCTTTGTTTAAGATTTGTGAGCAATTACTTGTAATTCATAGTAGCGAATGTGATTGTGAATAGCACGCTCGTCCGAAATCCCTTAGGCTAGAACTCAGAAACCCCTAGCACATTCTGTAGTGCTAGGCTTCTTTGATATCCGCACGCTAATCCAAATGTCGTCCTGTACACTTCATCACAAGACCTCCTGAGGATGATGATGATAATTCCGATGGTCAAACAATGAGACGCGATGATCGCGGGTTCAGTTCTCATCGCATATGTCACGTATATGTAAAGCTGTTTCCTTAGTTGCATTAAATCTTAATATGAAACAAAAAGATCAGTAATTTTTACTTGCGCACTGTAGTTGCGTTAGAAGATTATTTCACTTCGGTTTTCTTCTGTGCCGCTAAATAAAACGAAATGAGCGTCAGATCTAAGACAGTGAAGAATCAAATAGCCATCCATGTGCACCGTTCACTCGAATAAATCGTTCTAACCGGCCAGTTAGTTGTAAATGTTTGATCAGCGTGCGCAATGCGGATGCACTACATCCATATTCGATGTCTTACATCTGCGGTCAGAAAATAATTGTGCTAAAGACTATTTGCAGATCTCGCGTGCGCGCAAGTTATATAGAAGGTAATCACTCGACCCCTCCTCTTGTTTGGACTGAAAATAAGATGTTGACCGTTGAAATAATGAAACCTATTCGGAGGAAGTGCGCTGACCCGCATTTGGTGAGCAGCTGAGATCGAATTTACATCCGGAGTGAGCTGGTTCCTGCTGCTGATCGGTTTATTCAAAGTATTCGGAAGAAATTACAATATTACAAGTTAGTGAGAGAGGGGTCAGGTGTGAACAAACAATGGGATGAATGAAAGACCCTACTACATACAAGTGAGAGTCTTGTAAGAAATTTCAAATGTGCATGTTGGGATTGAGGACAAAATAAGTGAATTGAGATAGAGCCAAAAACACGCCCTTGCTTTTTCCGTGTCCACGTGAGTGTTATCCGGAACAGAGAGGAAGATTGTCCTCAAGTAATCAAACAGTTTCTTACGTTTATAAATATTTCTTTCCGCATTGTCCTCCGGAGCTGGAAGAATCCTAACTGAAAAACTCTCAATGTTTCAAGCTTTTGCGGTTTGCAGAAGCAATTACCATGCATCTGCGTGCATTGGTTACTGTGTTAATCGTTTACCACTTTCAAAGACGAATGAAACAATAAATAAATGGAAGAACTAAGGAGCCGAGAACCCTATCAAGACAAAGATATAGAGAGAAGGTCAACTATATTGATATGCGTAGGAAGTGAGCAGATGAATAAGCGCCATTGTTTATGACAGCCGTAATCCCAAATGGGTTTTGTCATTGATTACGTTAATCAGATGGTTTCCAATCGCGAGGATTAGCACAGTCCATCTGAAAATGTCATACGGTTGAGGATTTTGTACGCCTGTGCTAGGTCATACATATCTTAGACTCAGACCGCATTACAAAACAAGTAGGGACTTTTGCAGTTATCCACACTGTTGTCCTTCTCCTTCCATTATGCAACCCACCAGTTCTCGGGGACATTCTTCAGCCTCTTGATGGGATTACATTTGATGGAGTTACAAGTTTCATGAGAGCAAGAAGAAGCATCATGATCACAGGATGTGTTGATTTAAACTATTTCGTGTTAATCTCATCAGCTGTGTACATACATTCAGATCGAGTTTGGTTAAAAGAGTGATCTGAATGTATGTACACATATGATGAGATTACCACGAAGTAATTGAATTCAACATATCGTGTGATCGTGATGCTTCTTCTTGCTCTTATGAAGTTGTTAAAGGGACTTGGTTGCAGTAGTTAAAAGTGTTTATACGTTTTTATCGTCGCAAAGAACAAGACACCGATTATCTCATGTAAATCAATCATTTATTGATTTATACACTTTTAAAAATGCCATGATAGGGAGAATATGGAAAACAGTTCGCTTTTCTCAAGACATGAATGAAAAGTTCCAGTCCCATTTTTTAAATCCTTAAGATGCAGTTTGGAATGGTTGACTATGTTGCAGCTTAAAGAGCTGACAAGAAATGATACCGTACAAGATCATCACAATCGATGGAAGCGCTTGCTCTGTATCCAGATATTGATAAGTAGCTTCATTGATTACTCAATACGTAACAGGGACGGAACTTGAATCAAACCCTCCTACATATCATCACCATCTTAGATTCACCGAAGCCTTTAAAACTGGAAGAAGAAGATCAAAGCTCTATTCGTTAGACTATAATTACTGGTCATGTTGACCATGTATTGGCCGCACGTTGGGATAAAAAATTTTCCTTTTTGAACGCTAGTGTCGTGATGACATTTGACTGCGCTGTTTTTATCTTTTCTCCTGTGTACTTGACCAAAAATGTTCTTGTAGATGCGTGCATGAATTATTGGAGAAACGGAAACATTCGCTCATTTGATATGGTCAGAAATGTGATAGCCACCTCAATAAAAGTACACAAATGAAAACACTCAAAGCACCAGACATTAGAAGCCATGAAAAATAGCTACAGTAATCCATAGTTCTAATTAATAGGAGAGAGGGAGATTGAATGAGGTAGTCGAAGAACCCGGTGCCGGTTGTGTATTAGGATGACAAAGTGGAAAGGCTGGTTTCCTGTGGAATAGGGTGGTTCACCATCTCGTTTGTCCAAGCACCACCAGAAGCCAACNACCGATCACGTGGTGTGTGGGCAGTCCCGACTTTTTGTTTGAACTAGATGCACGCACGCATGCATACACACCCAAACATGGATTCGTTCAAAGTACACACAAAATTGAGGCAGGTAAAAGTATCGAAAGGGGTTGGTTAAAAAAAAACAATTATCAAGAGGATGGGGAGCGGGAAAAAACGGACAGGGTGGAGGTGAATTAGAAAGATAATCACGGGCCAAGAGGAAACTATAAACAAACCGATTGTATAATTTAAAGTNTTCGGCCCCCAAATATCGCCCGTGCTGGTGGTTTGTCTCTTTTGTTTTCAATTTTAAACACCTGTACAGATCCTAGGTTTCGGAATATAATTTCTACTTATACAAGTAGTTGTGATACTGAGCTTGTAAGTGTATGATCCTTAGCTGCTGATATTAATCAACCAGCGAATCGTAAATAGGGAGATAGAACCTCTCATTGTGACCTTCAAAATATTAGGTCAACATAGTTCATTTGTACGGTTGTATCTTTCCGAGGTAACAAGTAAAGGGTCACGCCTCGTAAGAATTACAGTTTCCTCGTGCTTTCTGTTGAACCAATGACACAATGCTCGATTCGAGACCGAAGTTTTTGTAGATGTAAAATAAAATGAAAAACTAACACAAAACATTTCAAAAAGCATATGATGAAACAAAAAAATAGTGTTATTCTTGTTCTCCCAATCCTCTTTAACTGTTTTATTTCCATGTCGCTCTTTTCAGAGTCCAAATCCTTTCATCTTCTACTATTAGTATTTCTGCGTTGGCTTCGTACTTGTTTGCAAGCCTCACGAAATACTCTTGTACGACCAAGTGTCTTAAATAGCTTCTGTTGGGGAGCCCTGGGTGGTCTGGAATTGTCACACCAACATGTAAATCGTGAAAATTTTCATCAGGAACATGTACTGAGATTTGATTTGGACTCAAAAACACGTGAATAAACGTGAATAAACATACATGATTATGTGCCAAGGGTTCAGTTCATGAAAGCAAACAGTCTAATGCATCCCATTTTATGCCATCAGTTTAAACAATATTGTTATTTAGGCAACAAAAACGGTCTAATCTATGTTTCTGACGGATTTCTGTTTTCCTTTCGTGGGAATTTCATGAAAATTTCCTTATTTGATACATTTTGCGATTCATACACAAGCAGCAGATGATGATTTCGACGATGACTTGGATGATGATCTCACTGACACCAATCTGGGAATTAAAGAACTTGGCGGAATTCAAATAAAGACTATTATTCGATACGCCAACTCCCCAATTCAAGGGATCAACTTTCAAAATAAGCCAGTAAGTTATGAAAAGAACATCTGGACATCTGATGTGGCAAAGTGAAGTATTTATGAATTTTCTAGATTAATCACTAATTGTACCTTTATCAAACTGAAATAAATACAATACGTGTATTCAACATCTAAAACGTACAGCTAACACTAAAAGGTATGCGTTCTGATTACCGACCTCGGGGAAGGCATCACAGGCAAGCAAACGGTCCACATCAAAGAGAAAGTCTTCATGAATTTCAACTGACCTTAACATTTGTCCACTCAAAAGGTAAATTTCCTCCAGTCTAGCGCATTCAAGGAAGCGTTTTCTACTACTTGCTCATGAGGCGCATTTCGCGATTCGATATTGGGAGTTTAAAGCACTTTTGTATGTCTAACGTTTTACGTTTTTATGAGAGTTCCATCTCGTTCTGTACTTGACTTGCCAGTGGTAATATGTATTTTGCGTATGACCATCTCGCCTTCCTCATACACACGTGTACCACCAAATAACTTACCGGGTTGTTTGAGTGGGCTGATGACCTTGCTTTTGTACAACCAGTGCTTGATACGAACAACGGATGTTCAGTGTGGCGGGCATGAGACGACACGGTTCACCGTCCATTTGCATAGGGATAACTTTATTTGTGGTCAACGTGACTGTGCGACATTGACAAATTCTATCCCCGTGACCGCCAACCTGAATCATCGCCTGAAACAGGGATACGAAGTTTGTGTGTGCGTGAATAAACGTCATTCGATTTGGTAAAATAAAGTGTCATTCACGCACATGGCTCAAATGCATCGACTTTATCACTAGGTGCCTGACATAGAGCATCCATGAACACCAGGATATGTAGCCGGGAATCACAACCGTGGCCGGTTCGCGCCTTGTTAGAAAAAATCTCATTGCAAACATAACTCAGGCGTTTCGGCCCCGGTACAGAGTTAAAACGGGAAAGTTAAGCACATACGGTTTCATGTTCTAATGACGGTGGAAGCAGTTGGCAAACATTTCCACACACATACACCCCTGGGTGCTTCGAAGCAATTCATGCAAACAATTCATGCTTCGTGGCCCGACTAGAAACAAATGACCTTTCCTGAAGCACCGACAGAGAGGATGATTGACTATTTACAGAATCCAACTCCAAAGTGGGAAGCATTTAGGATCCAAAGTTTCGAACATTCAAATTACTTTCATGTTCAATTGTAAAACCCTTCCTTCCTGCAATTAGTACGTGCTGTGTTGTATTGGTGTGCATACCAAACACAATAAATGAGCTTTTTTCGTCACATTGTGTTTTCAGTACTTCTAAACGAAGTACTGATAATAGGAAATTTTAAAATTGAATTATAGGAATGGAGAGAATAAGTAAAAAGGTGTACAACATTAATGGGATTCAACCGTTTGATAGTTTGACCAATACAGCACAGGAACAACCCGAAAACAAGCACAGAAATGACGCAACAGCTCTATCAAATGAAACTAACCAAGGTCGTTGCAGATAGGCCGATTACTTCGATCAAACCGTCATCAATCCGTGGTTGTTCGAAACCGGCTGTGGGCGGTGCTTGTCCCCACGGCAGAGTTCCAGATCCGTATCTGAAGGATGAACAGGTAATACGCCCAGAAATTATGTTGAAGTTTGATCGGGAGTTGTTTCATTTGAATGTCTCAATTATTTAACATTACATGCAGAAGGTCTTACTCACAATCTTTTTGATGAGGGAACAGATTTGATTTAATTCATTTGCAGTCGTTGGCATTCAGAGCATTGCAATCAAATCGTATTGCATGATGTAACGGTAAACTTTTGTGTTTGCAAGAAACAAATATACTGTTTTTCGGAATTCAAAGAATTTCTAATAGAATGGACACCCCTTGGCTGGTAGAGTGTTGGGTCGTTCGGGGCATAGTCCACCTACTGAATCGCATTCATTTTCCCAACTTCTGTTCTTGGTTGCATGAAGCTGAATAGCATGTGGCCACATACCGATAAATCGATCGAGAGACGACCATTTCAGATTTCACAACCGTTAACCATGCATTATCATGGCCGGGTTTTGGTTACTGCCACCCATTTAGATAAAACAGCAGAATGAAGATTAGAATGTTGAGAGCAGTATAAAGAAAAGATGGAGAATTCATATTGACTGGGGCTGCAAGAGTAATGAGTAGATGCACGAGCGTCCCTGTTTGCGACACTCAGTCATATCACCTAGTGGCTCTAACCACCGGTTTCCATAATCCTGGGTCTCCATCCGGGGAGCCTAGCGCGAATGCGCTTCCGGATTAAGGTTTTCCTACCCTCATACCAAATCTTACTTTGACCACCCTTGAATTCTTCGGTAAACATCGCGCGCCGTGGCAACCCATTTGGTGTCATGTGCAACACATGTCCTAACCAACGTAGTCTATAGTGGTCGACCACTTGTTCCAGTGGACGACCATAGCATTGCTTGTCCGGTGAAACACATTTTCCAGTGTTTAACTGTTTAACCCTCTTTCCACTGTGTTCTATAGTCCAATCCACTTGCCCCTGTTATTGTTATTGTTATTATTGTTGTGGCGTTGGCACCATGCTTGTCTACAAACCGATGTTATATATATATACCACCTGAATGGTGCAGTGCAGTGTATACAGCGGTGTTCGAACACCGACAATCTATTTTATCCGGTTCTCGTGATGGCGAAGTCACAGCACCGTAAAGCAGGACTGGTCTAATCGCTGCAGCATACACTCGACCTTTCACAGACAGCCGGATATCGCAACAGCGCCACAGATGTCTCAAGTTGGCAAATGTCAATCGGGCTAACACAGACTAGGGAAAACCGGGGTCTAAATACGTTATCGAGAAAGTGTGCGGGATGCAATGACAGTCACCTCTTAGCCCCTGGATGAGATCTACACCTTTTCAGTTTAAGATGTCCGAAATCCAATTTAAGATGTCACAATATGAATTTAAGATGTCCGAGTAACAATTTAAGATATCATGTTTCTATGTTTTCACGCTGTCCTGTGCAAGGTACTATCCACATAGAAACATGATATCTTAAATTGTTACTCGGACATCTTAAATTCATATTGTGACATCTTAAATTGGATTTCGGACATCTTAAACGGAAAAAGATATAGTGCATGATTACACAAACTATGAAGGAAATCGGCCGAATAACAGCAACACATGAATCCCCCGGACGCACTCATTTATCAAATGGCAAATTAACTACTTGGGAGCCACCAGAGACCATGCACCGAAACACCGTTGCCTTTCAGTTTACTCGTCATTGTGCAAAGACTAGAGATACACCCTTGAGAAACGCCGGGTGATAATGGGATCGTCTCTGTTACCAAACTTCTATGAAACTTCATCGTTTTCATGAAACTGACGTAAACTGCAAAAGGAGTGGGCCGTCGTAAAGTGAAACGTAAGTAAATGATTCTTGAGCACAGAAATGGCTTGTTTGCACCACTATGATTACATCATACACACTCAAATTGCTTAAGATCTTCTTATTTCCCCAAGCTGTTTGGAAGGATTTTATTTGTAGAGTGAGTGACAGTCAGCACAAATCACAGAATCAGGATTCAAGGAAGTAATCATGGTCAGATTTTGTGAATATGTGTCGTGCGCTTAATAAAAAAGGATAAGATAGAGATGCACACTAAGGCGACCAGGAATGATTAACTATGTCGCAAACGTTTGACTTTAAAATTCCCTTCAACCAAATCAAGCATTGCAATTATTCTATACATCCTAAACAGAGGTGGGTTCCAATGTCTCAGGGATTCGCACCGGAGCCTTCCACTACCCACAGATTAATGAGCAGTACAGTAAGGCAGTGCATGAGAAACAAGATTATTTGCCCGATCAGTCGGTTAGTACGTCCGTGAACAGTGTTCAGGGTGCCCAACACACCCTTCCGTTTGCTCGAACCGTTAACCATTGTGAACAGAATTTCCCCCGCGTCAGTTTAAACCTTCCTTCTTATGAGATTTGAAATCAAGAGTTTTCACATACTCAAAATGAGCTCGTTTCGTGTGCATCATCAACTCTGATTTTTCTCTTCTCACCTCTGTGTAAACACGATCTTCACAGAAAGGTAATGAATACGAATTCCATACACGTTTTATATAACATATTGGAAGTCAGCATTTTTCGAGGGCACAAATATGAGACTTAATGAACAGGGGATTTTTAAAGATATACCAAGCTCGAAACATGATATTATTGAGTTTAACTATAATATTTAAAATGGACCCTAAATTTAAGATATTAACAGGAAATGTGTTGGCAGTGCATACTTTTAGTCATATAGATCTGACGATTTCAACCATCACAGGCAGAAATCACGTTAAACATGTTAAGAATGCCTATATATCGTGACGAAACTATCCTTTATCGTGATGGTCGTTCGTACTGTTCACTGTGGAACCATAGAAATTGACTTGTCCGATTGAACTTCTTGTTTGTTTTGGGATTTTAAGACCACGTTCCTCTTACTTAACTTCAATCGGGAACCAATAAGTGAAGACCAACCCTTAAACTTAAGTAATTCAAGCGGATGACGAAGCACATAATTAACACTGCAATTACATCGATTACATTTTGAACAACCCCAGTCGACATTGCTGATTGTCTACCTCTTAGCCTTCTTGAACATAACAAGGTTAATGGTTGGAATTACAGCCATAATTCATGTCACAGTGGGATTATTAACCTAACAACTGTTTCATGTCCACATATTTCCCCCTCGGGATCGCACATTCAGGCGTTTTTTGATCTCTCCCTCCCACCCTCTCTCTCAGATACAACCAACTCTAAATCGGAACGGGCAATCTCTTTTGGTATATAGAATGACCGAAGTCTAGGTCCAGCATTTCCGAATGTAACTTGGTGCTAGCCTGTATGTATGTGTGTATGTGTGTGCTTATGCACACAGATGTGTAGGTGTGACGGGCAAGAGCACTTGTTAAACAAGGTGCTAAAGATTTCAGTCTGCTGGCGAGAAAACACAGTTTGCACTGTTTGTCTATTTTTCCCACCGCGATAGAAAAATTATCAAATCACAGGCAAGAGCTGAAAGTGATATAACAATATCCATTGCAACTGGTTGAGTTTATCCTCCCCCCCAAAAAAAAGCGAGCGCCTGGATGGGAAACAGCCACTATCACTAAGATAATGAATCATAAAATTAAATTGTGAGAAAGATTCTGATGGAAAACGTTTGTTAGGTGATTTGAAACTTTTGGTTAGATGATGAATTTGTCGTGTAAATGAGGAGTGAGCTGGAAAGCTAAGAAGCACTGGACAACTGTTTTGATCTGATTGGGTCTCAGCAGTGTTGCGAATCCATCGACTCAACTGGGGATCGAACCCGGAACCCGAGACCCAACCAGGTCAAAACATCTGTCAGTGCTTCCTCGCTTTTCAGATCACGCCTCATTTACACGACAACTTCATCATCTTAGCAAATCAAACCTTTCATTTCTCTTATATGATTTTAAACTCTTCAGAAAAAAATAAATGCTGCATAAACCGCTTTTTGAATGCAAAAAGGGCAACACACACATGCGTTTTATTTGACCAAGTTCGGATTCCAATTGGAGCTGGATGCTGAGCGTGTAATGATTGTAGAATGAAACAATCATGAATGGGATTTAAAACAAACCAGAGTTAAAAATATGTGGCAGAAAACAACATTTTCCATTGATTGCTCTCCGCTGATAGGTTATCCTATGCCAAACAGAAACGTAAGAAATATATTCATATTCATATTATTGTTATTATTAACATTATGACTGTTATCACCTTCGTGNCCTTCGTGTGGTGAAAGGCACTGGAGATTTTCCGATCACTATCAGGCTGTCAGAGAGTGGAAAGCAAATCCGAATGTGCAACTCGGTTAAGTAGTGGGTCTGAATTGAGGAATGGGCGGTTGAATGTCAGTCAAGGGGGAAAGTTCTGACAATTGATTAGATCCCAGTGAGTGTCTGGGCATAAATGGTGAGTAGAAATATAGTAATTTTTGCACTTGGGTGCTTAGGGCATAAAAGAAACAGAATGGTGTGAATTCTGAACTAGAAAAATTAAACCGAAGACCAACTCAATCATCTTTAACTAAGTTTTTGAATTCCCGACAGATTCATTTCGCAACCAGAAATGTGCAAAACACCGACTAAATAAAATACATTGGATTTCACGTAAATCTTCAGTCTAGTAAACTAAATGCAACCGCATCGCAAAACTCAATGAATTCCCTCTCCGATAATTTGTAGATCCGGTATATTATTTTGCGCTTCTAAAGATTTATGAATTTCATTTTACTCACAGTGGGGAAAGCCAGTTACAGCATAGTTTGATTTGCGTAGAGGCTTATATAGCCCAACTAAATAAGCATTTGAAAGAAATGGGCTATAAACGTACCGAGGATACATCTGTAAATTAGTGCAAATCAGCCCTAGCCGGTGCTATCGCACAGCACAAATAAAAATTCCATGGTCACTTTACTGTTCCAGTGGGATAGCGATTTAGCTAGTAAATAAAGAGTAATCATTCTTGGTACGCTGATCAAAATGACGGTTAATTGAGCGCTGAGGAATGGGAATGTGTAAGTTTGGTGTTCTGCATGAATCTCCGGGGACCGAATCAATTCAGTGTCTAAAATTGTGGAGATCTGTAATTAAGTTGTTCCTTTCAACTTCGTACCATTGAGTTCGAAGGTAGCATTTTAGCACGTATTTCTATAGACATCCTAATTTACCTGGGCGATTTCACCGCTGGTTGATGTCACCCTGGCTGATGATGAAACGCTCGGAACCAAGTTGATCAGATTCACTGAATTTTAGCTAGAAGAACCAGTGTGGAGTACTTGATGAGATTCTCTCCATCTTCCATTCAGAGGGGTTCACTCATCCCGGCGATTTGGTAAAAAGTAATATTAGGTCGAGAGATGTTATCACTCAGAAATATTGTGAACAAAGATTGTTTCATATCACGTTTATTTGTTTGTACGAATAGTATTTGGGCTTTCCTCACACACCGAAAATCCAAATGTGTGTTTGGAAACCGGGCGACACATGAAATCACAAATTTTGCTTGTGACCAAATAGGTTACTTTGGTCTGCGCTGTTTGACAATGCAGACACTGACTATTTTAAGACGAATAACAATGAAGCTCTCTCTTGATGCCAAGAAATAAAAACACTAACAAATGGAGTCGGTAATGTACACTACAATTGGCTTTTCGTTTGGGGACGGCCCAAACAATAATAACACACATGGCAGTTGACATTTTCTATTGACATTTGGCTCTTCTCGTTTATGTAATCTGTTTTAACCACACCGGGTCAATTTCCCTTATCTTACTCAATTAAGATCAAACATCCGTCGATTTTTAATGGGCTCATTGATTGGAGACACCTTTTGAGACTGACGTGAATTGCGAAGTAAATTTAAATAATAACAATAACGATCTGTTTTATAGGCTTTTCAGGCCTGAAAGAAATAGTGCTTGTACTTTTAATTGGTGCTCTAACCAGACGGTATCACAACGAACAGATTCACTATATGGGACACAGGCTGCGTGAAAATGCTCATCCAGTAATCACAAAGGTTCAAATTTTCAGGTGTGTCGGAGACTATGAGTTACTCTTCATTCCATCTCCACTGTCTATCTATATTCTGTTTGTGACTTTGACTGTGATTGTCAAGGATCAATCAAAGGACAAATGCATCCTTGCCCTCACTTATTGATCATATGGGTTGAAATGAGTTCAGTAGTTTACCAATGTTATCGTGAAAGGCAAAGAGCAACATGGCATGACTGTTTCAGGTCATTTTAAGACCCACGAGCTGTGAGCAGTCGAAACGTCGAAACAGTTTAACATTTTCATAAAATGAACAACAGACAGTCTCTGCCAACTACTGTAACACACTGCAAAAATGTCGACTGTTCTTTGTGCAAGTGAAGGGTGAAATGACAACTCTTGGTCACGTAACGCTACGAGCAGTTTCCATTTTTTTGTTTCCAACATCGAAGTTTAAACTCAAACAACAGCATGAACTAAACCAATCGAGGGCGGTGGTGATCAAGTGGTTAGTTCACCAAATCGTCGCCTGGCAGTCCCGGGCTCGAACCGATTCACCGCCGCCCGTCTTCCCGATTTCTGTATCTTTTCCGGCAGCCTTTGTTTGGCCGCGGACCCCTTCCTCAATGTTAACTCAGATTGTGGAAGTTTCCAACCGAGTCATTACCCTGGAGGCTAGTGCTGAGATAAGCAGGGTCTGTGGCCCGAAACAAGCTTGCAAAGATGAATTGCACTATATATTGTAAATGGAAAATGAAAAGCGGTCCGATTAGCTGCCCAGTGGTCGAGTGGGTAGCATGCTTGCGTTCTGCCCATCAGGTCCGGGTTTTGATCAATAGTTGGGTCGATGGATTCGCACTGCTGATGAGACCCAACCAAGTCAAAACAGCTGCCCAGTGCTCCCTAGCTTTTCAGTTCACGTTTCATTTGCCATATACACGGCGAATTCACCTTTGAAATTTTTATATCCAACTAAAAGAAGAGGAAGTAAAAAACATTTCATTTTATTTATTTTCATTTAGAAAAGATCACGGAACACTGACCTCATAAAAGTCCCCCTCATTTTGGTGATAAGAAAACTGCCGTTTGTCACCAACGTGCACAACTGTTTTCGTACTTCGTTCTCCTTAGCATGCATTGGTCGAACGAAGTGTAAGACTTTCTCCCTTGAACGAATCTCTTTTTTCGTATTTCATAGGCGAAACCGATATCCTCTTACTGAAAAAACGACAATAACAACACATTGGGGTTCGTCGTTCAGACTGCACGCAGTAAATTTGACCTCAGACAAGGTGATGGAATTTTTCAACGGCTATGATGACTAAGTCCAGTTGGTCAACTGTCATCAACATTTACCGTCGCCCGTGAACGTAAAGTAGCATATGCTTCCGTCTGTTCCTAGAATTAGCACGATGGTCATACCAAAAACTCATGTCTTCCATGGTGAGATGTTCAATCAATATTGTACAGGTTCAGTGACTGGCTAAATGTGCCCTTATTTCCCGGTGTAGGATAAACAACACTAAGGCAATTTGGATGCAGTTCACACTGCGACAAAGGTGTAAAGAACGTGAAACTCTTGCAGTAGCGAAAATTTGGAACCACGTCAAAACCACCGATCGGAGATGGAACACAGAGTCTGACTTTGCTTAAACTCAAATATCAGAAATGCTGATTTGGATTAGAACAAAGATCAAAGTCGTATGACGGAGTGCGTGTGAGAAAAGTTCGCATAGCTCAAAAATGCATGCACCTCAAACTACACGGAAAACAACGCTACGGGTTCGGAGAGGTCAACTAAAAGGGTAAGTTCTATTAATTACATGTATCGTTGAAAAAGTGTTCCATTACAAAAGACAAAATTCAAAATTGTTCACAATAAAAGAATGAAATGGTTTTAGTTAAAATCATGGATTTGGGATCCTCAATCTCAAATGGTTCAGTTGTACGTCAGCCTTTCCAGCGCGATATTCATTTGTCCACGGGCCGAGGAGAATAAAATCATTTGGGGGTACAGTGATAAACGCTCTCAAAAAGTATTTTTAAGGAACAAACGACTAGAAGAATTCAGATTAGACATGCGGTAACCCGATTCATTTCTTTGTGAAAACTAACAAAACTGCTTAACAAACCCAAAGTAGATGGATAAAAGTGAATGAAAGTGAATTCCTATATTGTCAGGCTGGATGACGTTTTAATCTAATTTGTTTAGTTGCCATCTCAAAGGGCTGCCAGGCACAGAAGATGAGGAAATTTGAGTGAGAGCGATGATAGCAGGCACACGTTTTTCCAGGTGGTAATTTGGTGATCACTAACGCAGCGATTACAGTATGATCACAAATTGTTTGCACGGACTCATGGAGCGGGTTGGACAAATGGACGGGTTTAGTGTATTCATCAGTGATCTGATCGTAATTTGTTCTGCTAACATCAGCCCACCCATGAGACAATCGCGTGCAAAACATTACCATTTTGTGTGCCCGTCGTCTCAATGGATTTTATGGCTGTCTCGATGTCAAACATGTTCCGGCCCCATACTTACTCTCGTCAGGATACGCTTAGATTGAAATCTGTTAATTCTCTGCCTCATACAAACGATACGCTTGGAGAATATGGCAATCATGCTTGGATCAAGAAGCGCAAGCGTGGCGGATGGCAGTGTGCGCTTAATAGCACTCCTTCTGCCAAGATGACCGTGCCTTCATTGGTCAGTACCAACGTTCGCTCTCTCTTCACAACGATCTCGAATTTAACTTCCTCACTGAACACACGCATAAATTCCAACACCTGTGTGGTATGCATACAAGAAACCTGGTTAAATCAAAACGTTGAGGATGCGCTCATAGAGATAGATGGCTT